GTTTATCACAGCTCCTGCAGCCGCATCGCCACCGCCTCCTTCCCGTACCTGCTCAAAGGCGGCGGCGATGTGTGAGGATTAAATTGTCGATTTTTGTTTTTTTTTCCTATTGCGCAGATGGAGTCGTCGGGTCCTAGCGGCGGGCTGTGGCTGCGTCTGGGCAATAAAGATGGCGGCGGTCACCATATCGACGGTGGCTAGAACTCCGGTGGCTGAGCTCCGGCGAAGGTGGACTGTGGATTGGCTTTAATTGTTTTTTTGGAATTGTGGGGTTATTTGTTGGAAATTTGATATATTGTAGGGGCTCAATTGCAATTTATTTAAGTTTCTTTTTCTTTCATTTTAACTCATGAGGTCAATCTACAATATAATAAAAGTCTAATTAATGCACAATAAGTTATATAAATGCACATTGTTATGTGACAATGTACAAGTTAAAAAATAAAGACATGTTTTTTTACGGAATCATATTTTTCTCAATCCTATACATTTAAAAGTTCACAAATATTAATTTTTAATTAAATAAATATACATAAAAAATACAATAATAAAAAATAATAGTATTCTTATGTAGTTCGGTAGCTCGATTATTTTGGTTATCTAAAATACCCGATGTATAAAAAAATATATTAATTGACGCGAAATATAAAATTTCGCACTGAATTTCTATTTGTTGATCTCGTTTGATTTTATGCAATGTGTTAAGTATTTACGTGCAACCCGTATAACACTAACGTGCAACCGCAATACACAAATATAAATATAAAAAAAAAAACACAAATAAAGAAGGGTATATTTTTCATATAGTTCAACATGTTTGGTTATTTGTTTGTTAAAAAAAAAAACTAAATCCCGCATCTATCCAACTAATAGTATTCGATCAATTAGCATAAATACTTCAATTTTGGTATATGTAGTGTGTCGTTTTAAGGTGCACATTTTGTGGTATACGGTACAGTGTAATGTTGTATAAAGTGCAACATATTGATATATACGGTGCAATATATATAACCATAGTGTGCAACCGCAACACATAAAAAATATAGATAAAAAATAGTATTTAATACAAAAATTATATATAAAAAAAAATCGGTAACATTTTTCATATAGTTTGAAATATTCGGTTATTCTGTTTATTTAAAAAAGTAAAACTTTAATATTATTTGATTGATTATTAAAATTATTGAATTTTCGGTACGACGGCGTGTTGTTTTTTAAGGTGCAACATGATACGATAAAAAGTGCAATTTATTATTGTATAAAGTGCAATATAATGATATATAAGATGCAATACTGAAATTGTACGTTAGCAAATTTGTATTTTTTTTATTTTTTTGTGTGGATAAATGATGGGATGGATATTACAGTATTATGTACATATGTTTTTTAATTTTATTGCATAATATTCTGGCCGGAGCTGCTGACATTAAATGTGGAATGTGGTAATAAGGTGTAACGTGTTGTTTTATAAGGTGCAACGTGTTGATTTTTATTTATTACTTTTTTATTGAAAAAAATGGAGTTTGGTTAGTTTGATTTCTATTGTGCAATCTTATAATCATGATAAAGTGCAATGCCTCGTTTTGTAAAGTTCAACGTGTTGTTTTATAAAGTGCAATGTGTTGGTGTATAAATATAACTATTGTAACTTCGGTACTTTGGTACTTTATAAAGTGCAACATGTTGTTTTATAAACTGTAACGAGTTCTTTTATAAAGTGCGATGTGGTGCTATGTAAATTGCACTACATTATACAATCCCATATAAATTATAACTATTCAAATATTATTTTTTTGTAGATATAATTTAACATCTAATTATAAAAAATAATTGCAATATTATTACTGCAATTAAAAAATACTCAAAATTAATAAAATAACAAAATTGTCCCTCAACATTACCTACTTTAAAAAAAAAAAATCAATAAACCTCTAAATCCCTAATTTAAATTTGCAAATTTAATACACATTTATTAAATTTTCTGTAAATTGCACATTTGGCACATGTATCAAATTGAAA